TCTGCGCACCTCCTGTGGTGCCGAGAAAGTGCCACTCCTGACACGATCTGCGAGCGTGTCACGGATAGAGGCCGCGCTGAGGGACCACCCTCTGCGCACCCCCTGTGGTGTCGAGAAAGTGCCACTCCTGCCAAGATCTGCGAGCGTGTCACGGATAGAGGCCGCGCTGAGGCCCCCCCCCCTGCGCACCCCCTGTGGTGTCGAGCAAGTGCCGCTCCTGCCGCGATTTGCGAGCGTGTCACGGATAGAGGCCGCGCTGAGGGACCACCACCCTCTGCACACCCCCTGTGGTGTCGAGAAAGTGCCACTCCTGCCACGATCTGCGAGCGTGTCACGGATAGAGGCCGCGCTGAGGGACACCACCCTCTGCGCACCCCCTGTGGCGTCGAGAAAGTGCCACGCCTGCCACGCCCTGCGAGCGTGTCACGGATAGAGGCCGCGTTGAGAGACCACCTTCTGCGCACCCCCATGTGGTGTCGAGAAAGTGCCACTCCTGACACGATCTGCGAGCGGATAGAGGCAGCACTGAGGGACCACCTTCTGCGCACCCCCATGTGGTGTCGAGAATGTGCCGCGCCTGCCACGCCCTGCGAGCGTGTCACGGATAGAGGCCCCGCTGAGGGACCACCCTCTGCGCCCCCCCAGTGGTGTCGAGAAAGTGCCGCGCCTGCCACGCTCTGCGAGCGTGTCACGGATAGAGGCCGCACTGAGGGACCACCCTCTGCGCACCCCCATGTGATGTCGAGAATGTGCCGCGCCTGCCACGCCCTGCGAGCGTGTCACGGATAGAGGCCCCGCTGAGGGACCACCCTCTGCGCCCCCCCCAGTGGTGTCGAGAAAGTGCCGCGCCTGCCACGCCCTGCGAGCGTGTCACGGATAGCGGCCGCGCTCAGGGGCCACCCCTTGCGCACCCCCTGTGGTGTCGAGAAAGTGCCACGCCTGCTGTGCCTGGACGACTGTCGTGCATAGCGGCCGCGGTGAGAGACCACCCCCTGCGCACCCCCTATGGTGTCGAGGAAGTGCCACGCCTGCCACGCCCTGCGAGCGTGTCACGGATAGAGGCCCCGCTGAGGGACCACCCTTTGCGCCCCCCCAGCGGTGTCGAGAAAGTGCCGCGCCTGCCACGCCCTGCGAGCGTGTCACGGATAGAGGCCCGCTGAGGGACCACCCTCTGCGCACCCCCTATGGTGTCGAGGAAGTGCCACGCCTGCTCGCCTGCCGCATGGCTTGCCGTGTGTATGTGTATGATGCGTGTGCGGCCATATCGGGACATATCTCACGTGTTGCCCAGTATGTCGTGCAGACGTCTTGGGTGTATGATGCAGTGAACATGCGTGTTGCATGTGCGAATGTGTGCATGCGTGCGGCTGTGTGCGAGTGTGTGGGTGAGGAGGCGGGAGGTGTGTGAGACGCGGGTGCGGCGCGGCAGGGAAGAAAACCAGAACCCCACGACGAAGCATGTGGGGAACAAATTGCAAGGGATTTTGGCAGCAGCGCGTAGGACGCCTGAGTAGGTGCTCTCACGTTATACCCACTTGTGCGGATGTCCTGTCCTCCTCCTCCACCTCCACTCCCATTGATGTCATCGTGCATGTCCGCCGCGCCGGTTCCGCTGCCCGTCCGTGTGCTGCCCGGCGCTCGTGGGCCTGCGTGCCCTTGGTGCTTCCCAGGCCGCAGGCGGTCGCCGATCTTGCCTCGACGCCAACACAGCCACGGCGCTGAGGAAAAACACACGCTGGGTTTAAGTCGGGCGTGTCCCTCTACAGGGAGAATATTCAAGCATTGTCAAAAAATGGTATGGGGACGATTTTGTTTTACTATTTTTGATAATTTTTGGAATAGTTGTGGAGTGCTTGTAAGTTTTCGCCCAAAATCCCCCTGGAGGGGGGCATGCCCGACTTAACGCTGGGTTCATGAGGGGCTCTGCTTTTCGGGCCGCTCCTTAGCTCCATGTCTCGGAGAAGAACACATTCGCCATAAGCAGAAACGTTTGGAGCTCCGCGAGGATCTCTCGGATCCGCGCTGGGCCCTCCCTGGCGGCGCCCTTGGCGCCGCCCCTGGTGCGCTCCGCGCGCCAGGGAGGGGGGTCCAGCGCAGACCCAAGACATCCGCGCTGAGCGCCAAAGGTTTCTGTTTATGGCGTGTTTTCTTTCTCTATCAGGAGGGGGAAAAACACAGACACAATGAATCGTCGACTCCCAGGAAAAGATGTGAGAATATGGGAAGTGGGGGGAATAGAAAAAAAACGAAAATAGGGGAACATATGGTGAATCCTGTTATATGTGTCTATTTGTTTGTGTGTTTCCCAGGGCCCAAATCATTCTAACGTCGGAAAAAATAGACTTGTGGCCGAGGCTCACTGTTGGCAGAAAGCGCCCGCTCGTCCTCCCAATTCAGCAGTCCTCCCGGCAGCACGGCGGCTGCAGAGCTCTCGCAAGACCCCCCCCCTGCAGCTACTCGTTCTCCCAAGTGCCGCAGGCCCAGAGGTGGACACCAGCACCGATGATCGGCGGTGTGCCTCCACCGAGGGAAGCAGATCCCGATCTCGGTGATGGTGGTAATGTTCTGGCTTCCAAGGTGGCCGAACTGTAACCACCAACACCGAAATCTAGGATGTTCTTCCCCCTGTGGAGGCAACCCCCTGTGTTGGTGTTGGTGCCCATTTCCAGGCCTCCAAAAGTGTGTCTGGCTTCCGCATCGCCAGAGGTCATCGAGGCGTTCTTCTGCGAAAAGATGGCGGTCGTCGAGAACGACGCCGAGGGCCAGGAGGCCACCGCCATGTGCCCAAATGCGTCGAGCCTGTCGAAGAGGCAGACCACTGCCCTTTAGATGTAGGTGCTCTGGTCGTCAGGAGTCTCGCACGGTTATCGTTCCAGCGGTGCTTATGTTGCTTTTGCGAAGCTGGCTCAGGTTCTAATTACCCTACCCCTGTTCATGCGTGGCACTGTACGGGCAGGGCTGGTCCAACTTGTTTTGAGGATTGAGAGAATGTGGCCGTCAAGTTTCGCCATCGAGCTAGCGCAGAACCCTGTGTGGCAGCCTTCGACAACTACCCAGAAGGCTGTAACGTGTGACATGCCCCGCCCATTGACTCCAGAGAGCGGTAACATGTGACAAGCATACCCGCAGGTTGAAGACGACTGTAACATGTGATAGATGTGTTCCCAAGAGCCCAGAGCCGTAGCATGTGCCATGTCTTGTCCCAAGAAGCTACCAAGGCGACCTGAAATATAACAATTCGCTTTTGTTTTCGAGGGGGATCCATCACATGTGTCAGTTGATGTCCCCATCGTGAGACGCAGAGCGCCGCAACATGTGACAGAGATGCGCTTGGGAGCTTGTTGGGGAGTGTGCCGGGAGCGTTTCCAGGCCACTTGGAAATGTGCGGGCCATCTTGGAGCCTCGCTGCCGTCCGAGGATGAAACGTTAGTGCTTCAATGCTCCCCGTCTGGCCGCGCCGCGCGGCCACTGAACCGTCAAGTCAAATCAAGTTTGGTCAAGGAGCCTACGGAGGCCCCTCGGTCCGCAAGCGGAGACGGAGGGTGTGAGACAATACGTCAACATAAACGCACATACAAAAGCTATTTGGCGGATAGGGGGGCATCGAAACAAGTATATTACATAGTGCATTCCACTTCTGTTCGAGAAATGAATGTTCCGACCCCTGACCCGAAACAGCCAGAACCGGAAGGCGGCAGAGAGCGTCCTCGTCGCGGCGGCCGACGTCTTCAACCGCACCGGCGAGTCCGCTCAGCTTCCGGCGGGTCTCTGCTCGATCGGCACTTCGTTGCTTGAAGGGCGCCCTGATTGTTCGCTCGTGCGCGCCTCTCAGGAATCCAACGCGACTGAACGATTAGGAGATGCTCAGTGGGGTCGCAGCGCCCCACAACGATCTGGACGATCAGAAGAATCTTGGCGGGTCGTCGTCGTCGTCGCCGTCGAGGCCGACAGGCTGCAGCCAGCGGCCCAGACGAGAGAAATTTATTCGAGTTTGTCGTCCGAGCCCGCGCTGCTATGTTTTGAGCCGCTTGGACGCAGTGTGTGTGTGTGTGTGTTCTGTGTGTTGTGTGTGTTGTGTGTGTCGTGTGTGTTGTGTGTTGTGTGTGTTGTGTGTTGTGTGTTGTGTGTGTGTTGTGTGTGTGTGTTGTGTGTTGTGTGTGTTGTGTGTGTTGTGTGTGGTGTGTGTGTGTGTTTGTTTGTGTGTGTGTTTGTGTGTGTGTTTGTGTGTGTGTTTGTGTGTGTGCTTGTGTGTGTTTTTGTGTTTGTGTGTGTGTTTGTGTGTGTGTGTTTGTGTGTGTGTTTGTTTGTGTGTTTGTGTGTGTTTGTGTGTGTGTGTTTGTGTGTGTGTTTGTGTGTGTGTGTGTTTGTGTGTGTGCTTGTGTGTGTGTTTGTGTGTTTGTGTGTGTGTTTGTGTGTGTGTTTGTGTGTGTGTGTGTGTTTGTGTGTGTGTGTTTGTGTGTGTGTTTGTGTGTATGTTCGCGCACGGTTCTTTACCCCTTTCCTCCTGCTCATCCTCGCCCTACGAGAGGGGGGGTATTGGGAAGCAAGGGGGGGCACGCGGTGGAAGAGCTGGCCCCTCTGGCCCCCGGCCAGGGCCCCCCCCCTTCCACTTCTTTACGTGCCTGGCCCCAGCGGGCTGCTCTCTGGTCCTCTTGGGGGGTCCTCTTGGCACGCCCTTGGGGCCTCTTGGGGGCTTCTGGGCCGTCTTGAAGCCATCTTCAGGAGGAGGAGGGGGAGGAGGAGGAGGAGGAGGAATTCTGGGACGATTTGGGGCCCTCTGCAACCGTTTCGGGGGCCTCCTGGGGAGATCTGGGCCAGTTCTGGGGCCCTCTCCTGGGCGGGGCTGCCGCCCTGGAGGCCCCCACGAAAAAAGTAGGCGCCTGGAAGACGGGGCCCCGAACAGCCGTCGAACCCATGTGCCTCTCAAGGCTGCGTGAGCCCTGGGGCACTCAGCGTAGTGCGGAAGGCACTCCGTCTTCTTTTTGTTTGTTGTGTTTTCTCGCTCTCTCTCTCTCTCTCTCTCTTTCTCTTTCTCTCTTTCTTTGTTTTTTTCTCCCTCTCTCTCTATATATAATATTACAGCTTCGGTTTATCTCGCCTCGCTCCCTCTCTGTCTCTCTTCCGTTGGTGCACATGCGTATACAGATACACACATGTAGAGGCATGGGACATAGATCCACACAGATATAAGCATGTACCTGCATGTATACATGTACATGTGTATATGTGTATAGTAAACACATATGTATGTATGTATGCAGTGCGTCCCCTTGTGCAAGATCGTCACCGCGACTGCATGTATTCGGGGACGGTCGCGACAGCTGGAGGCGCAAGCGGCATCGGGCGCCCAAGGCAGCTACTACGTGCGGGGGCCCGGCGGAGTCGCGGCGATCCAGGACGACCTCGCAGGGTTGTACTGCGCGGTCTCCCGCGACGGCGCGCGCACGCGCGCGATCTCCGCCGCCCGTTGTCGCAGCCGCGGCCCTGCACATTGTCGGCCCGACAATCTCATGCTTTAAACCCGGCCGTTATTGCGAAGGCCTTGCGGCCGGCGCCGCCGATCCTGAAGGGAGACGACGGCGACATCGGCGGCGGCGACGACGACAACGACAACAGCGGCGGCGGCGACAACGACGCTGTCGTGGGTCAGAGCCCTCAGGGATGCTTCTTAAGGTCACTTCGGACGGCTCTCGGGTGCCTCTAGGGAGGAATTTTGGGGCCTCTTGGGGACCTCTTGGGAACCTCTTGGAAGCCTCTTCAGGCTTCCTGGGGACCTCTTGTGGGCGTTTGGGGGCCATCTTGGAGGCCTCCTGGGCAATCTGGAGGGCGTGAAGGTGTTTTGGACCGATCGTTTGGCGATTGGGGACCCTTGGACCGCCTCGGGGGCCTCTTGGGGCACTCTTGGCCTGTCTTGTGCTTTCTGAGGCCCCGGGACCCCCAGTGGGGGATGCGTATCTGACCCCCCCCCCTATCATTGCTCCCTACTAATATATACTCCCTCCCCCAGGCGACCAGCAGCCAACCAGGAACAATGCCGACCCGATACTCCCCCCATCCGACCATCCCCGACAAAAAAAACACACTCTGCCTCCAAATTCTTTCTGAACGTGCGCAACCAACCCGATGCGGGTGCCCAGGAGGGTGTCTTGATAATTGTTCCCTATTATTATTCATCCACTCCCGCAGGCGACCCGCAGCCAACCAGGAACAATGCCGACCCTATGCTCTCCACCCCCCAACCATCCCTGTCAACAGCGATTCAAACACACACTCTGCCTCCAAATGCGGAGCATGCGCAACCAACTCTATGCAGGCCCCTCCACCATCCCTATTAAAAACAATGCGACGTACACTTCGGGGCAAAGTCCTGAGTCATGTTCGTGAGGCCCGCGGGCACTTTGCATTGTTTGTTAACGGCCGGCGGGGGTGTCAGCATATTGCCTGGTGTTCGCAGGGCCACCATCCCTGTCAAAACATAATGCTCAATGCACCTCGCGGCTAAATCTGGATCATGCGCGGCCACCCCGCGATCATTGCCAAGTGGTTTTGACGCTGTGCGCAGGCCCACCAGACACCATGATGGGCTTGGCTTTTGACAGTGATGATGGTGGGGGCCGAAATGTTTCCCGATGTGTGTTGTCACGTGCGCAGGCACACTCTGCACGTGTCCTGAACGTGGTGCACCTGGCGCGGCTGGAGTATGCGGCACACCTGGCGCACGTGGAGCACGTAGCGCATCTGGCGGACCAGGCGTGCCTGGCACGCTCGGGCCCCAGGGATGCCTGGCGCGCCTGGCACGCGTGGCGCGCCTCGCCCCAGCGTCGCGCACATGGGGGTCGGTTTTTGGTTCTCAGTAGCTGCCCATCCAAAGACGATCGCTGAACATTCTGAGGCTGGGGTGTTACTTAAGTGTCACGGAGGACGGGTGGGAATGAGCTAGACGGCTTGCTATCTAGGAGGGTGTCTTGACCCCCCCGATACCCCCCCTACCCCCCTGGGATCCCCTCCCCGGACCCCCCCCCTGGGACCACCCGGCAGCCCACCCCCGGCGGGGGAGGGATCAAGGGAAGGGGGTTCCCCTTCGACTCGATGACGACATTGCTCGATCTTTCTCTCGCTGACAATCTTGAGGAGCAGGGTGCAGGGAGAGGGGACGACGGAATCGACGACTCACGGAGACGACGATTCGAATAGACGAGCCCCCCACACACGCCGGCAGGGTCGGCGGACTTGGAGTGGTCGGCCTCCGGGGCACGTTTTTTCAGAGGAGGGCCGGCTGAGACGACGGTTGCTCGCCTTCCGGCGGGGGCCTTCGCCGCCCTGGCTGGACGCAGCTCAGATAATTGGTGCGTTGTGATTTTGTTTTGATTCTGGAAGAGGGCCGAGGACCGATTTTGAGTTGCCGTCGTTTCAACGCACCCTCTTCCGATTTTCAGGCGCCAAGACCATCAACCATGGACCCGGGACGCAAAGCTGCCCGCCGGGAAGCGATCGGGACTTTGGGGGGTTCGGATTTTTCTTTAAACATGATCTGCGGATGTCAGGTGTGGCCAGACGGAAGAAGGGAGGGAGCAGGGGCCAGGATCAATGGTCGAGATGTTTGGCGCTTCCCCCGAAGGAATGGCACACTAGCGGCAGAAGACCCGAAACAGCTTTTACGTAGCCACGACTGGCCTCCGATGTGAAGTGCCTCGCTCCCCAAATAGGCATTAGAAGAAAAATGCAGATCCCTTGAAGGCAGGCTGTGTAGGGAAGACCAGCATCAACATGCACACGTTGCGGTCCGCGCAGGTCTTGTGGATCGGCACTGGACCCCCCTGGCGGCGCCGCCCCTGGCGCGCTCCGCGCGCCAGGGAGGGGCCCAGCTGATTGGCCTGTTTTCCACCACCATAAACTGGAGGGGGGGGAGGAGGTGGAGGAGGAGGAGGAGGAGGAAGAAGAGGGGGAGGAGGACCCCCCCCCTTCCAACTTATGGTGGTGGTGGTGGTGGAAAACAGGCCCATCACCAGCGCCGAGATGAGAAACCCGCGCAGACTTCCAACTGGTTCAAGGGAAGCGGGCTCAGAGTGGTCACGGTCCGACGCCGAGGCTGCCTCCTGGAGCCCACGCAGCTCCAGGCCGCTTCCTGGGCCGCTCGCGCCCGCGCGGGAGAGGCCCACTGCTCGGCCGAACAGGTCGAAGTCCACGTCTTCCTCCACGCCCTCCAACAGTTTGCCTAAATGCTGAGTTCTTAATATGAAAATGATAACAACTATGTCTATGTTTAAGTTTGCTTGAATGCTGCGTTTCTGGTCCTGCTCTCGGGCCAGCCGACCCCCAGGGGCCCCTGGAGAGACCTCCAGGGGCAGGGCGCGGACGTTCCTTCGGAGACTCTGACGAGACGATGGTACCAGACGACGGCGCTGAGGACGAGGAGAAAGACAAGTGACAGAAGGCGAATGAAGGAACGAGGATGAAGGAGCGAGGAGGAGGAGGAAGAGGAGGAGGAAGAGGAGGAAGAGGAGGAGAAGGGGGAGGAGGTAGGGGGAGGAGGGATAACTACTGAGGGAGAAGACAAGACGCGGGAGTAGGAGACAAGCAGGCCAGACCGCACAGTGGCCAGCAGGACAGAAGCGTGACGTCTCGTCTCCTCCCCATGCGTGCATATGTTTGGGATACATGTCCGCGCCTCCTCCCTCTCCTGGTCCTCTTCCTTCCCCTGCCCAGGCGTCGTTCCAGACTGCGACGCCCACGCGACCTCCGCGCAGCACCACTTCCATTCGGCGCGCTCTGCCCCCACGTGAGAGTCGGCAGGGTGCCATTCCCGCCACAGGGCACGTAGCTGCGCGCGCGGACTGGGTAGGACAGCTCGGGAGGGACAGCGCACAGTAGGCACATCAAATGAGGCATCGGTCTGCCAGCAGGTGCCCCACCGACATGACTGATCCCCCAGTGGCCCAGAAGGACCCACAGGAGTTCTGGAGCATCTTAGGGCCTGCGAATATCGACGACGAATGCTCATCCACTGTCCATCCACTGTTCAGCGAGGGGGCCGAACGTTCATCCACTGTCCCTGGGCGCGTGGCCGAAGTGAGGTTCTACGGTGCGGATTGCTGCTGTTGGTGATGATGATATTGTTGTCGTTGGTGGTGCTGTTGTTGTGAATGTTGTAGTTGGTGGAGGTGTTGTTGCTGCTGTTGTTGCTGCTGCTGTTGTTGTTGGTGCTGCTGTTGCTGTTGTTGCTGGTGGTGTTGTCGTTGTTGCTGTTGTTGTCGTGGTTGTTGTTGTTAGTGTTCGTGTTGCGGTTGTTGTTGTTGTTGTTGTTGTTGTTGTTGTTGTTGTTGTTGTTGTTGTTGTTGTTGTTGTTGAACATTATTAATTCTAAAGAATAATTATTGTTGGGGCCCCTGGTGCACGGCCCCCCCGCCGCGCCTAGGCCGCAGCTACATTTTCATCAATTTTTCGCGAAAGCTTCAGAAAAGTGGATGGGGTCCAGATCCGGTTGTTTTGTTGTAATCCGTTTTCCCTTGCAAAAAACACTATAAAATGACATTTCTTGTTCTAATATAATCAAATTTCAAGAATCCCTTGCAAAAAATAAGGTAAAGAGGACATTCGCGCGCGCAAGACGAAATCCTTCCAAAAGCTTAGTGTTCGGAACGATTTAAACATAAAAACATCAAAAAACCAATGGTTTTTCAACAAAAAAATGTCAAAATCTCATCCCGCGCGCTCTTGCGGATTCGTACGTTGAATATCGTCGCACAAACAAAAAAAAGCTAACATAACGGAAACCCAACACTTTTTTAAACATTTCTGTCAAACGGGCTTTTGCGAGCAACTTTTTCGAACTTCTGCAACAACGGTTGCGCACCTACCAGGGCCATCATCCCTGTCAAATAATACCATGCGGGACACATTCGTTTTTTCTTCGCGCGCGCACGCCGTCGTCGTCGGCCGCGGGGCCCTGAATAGTAGCCACGGTCGTCCGATGCCACGAAGTGAAGTGTCCGAACGTCATAGGGCGGGAAGCTGGGTGTGGGTGGTGGCGAAGAGTCGTTTGGAAATTTGGTAGAGCTTGAACCGGCCCCCCCACAAAGTGGGGGTATTGCCCGCCTCCTATGAAAACCGTGGCACTGGTGAGAACGGAGTGTCCCCACGTGCTAGTACTAGTTTGTTGAATATTATTACTTCAAAAGAATAATTATTGTTGGGCCCCCTGGTGCACGCCCCCCTCGCCGCGCCTAGGCCGCAGCCACATTTTCATCATTTTCGTGAGGAAGTCTCAGGCAAAACGATTGGTACCGGATCCGGTTGTTTTGTTGTAATCCGTTTTCCCTTGCAAAAAAACACCATAAAATGAAAATTCTTGTTCTTACTTGATCAAATTGCAAGAATCCCTTGCAAAAAATAAGGTAAAGTGGACATTCGTGCAACCCCCCGCGCCGCAAGACGAAAATCCATCCAAACCTCGATTAATCGAGGTTTCGTATCAACGATTTTAACATAAAAACGTCCAAAAACCCAAAGGTTTTTTAAGACAAAATTTGGGTGTTTCCACCCCCCAAAATGTCCTTGCGCGAACGCGCTGTCCGAACTGCTGCTCCCACAAAACAATGGTTTTTTCCAACATTTATGTTACAATGAGTCTCGCGCGAGCTACTTTTTCTTGTTCTTACTTGATCAAATTGCAAGAATCCCTTGCAAAAAATAAGGTAAAGTGGACATTCGTGCGCGCAAGACGAAATCCTTCCAAAACCTTAGGTTTCGTAGCGATTTTAACATAAAAACATCAAAAACCCAATTGTTTTTTAAGAAAAAATTGTCAAAATGTCCTTCCGCGCGCGCTGTCCGAATCCCACAAAACCAATGGTTTTTCAACATTTATGTTACATGAGCTCGCGCGAGCTACCTTTTCTTGTTCTAACATAATCAAATTTCAATACTCCCTTGCAAAAAAAAAGTAAAGTGGACATTCGCGCGCGCAAGACCAACAAAAAACACGACGATCTTAGGAACTTGCCCCAAAAATGTGACCAACTCCGCTCTCTCTGTCTCGCTCTCTGTCTGCTCTCTGTCTCTCTCTCTGTCTGTCTGTGTCATGTATTGTATGTCACAATTGCAGGATGCTGGGCACACGCGCGCCCCGAATAAGTGACCAAGTTCTGTGGGTGTGTACCCCACGCCAGTGTAGTAGCCACGGTCGTCCGCACGCCACGAAGTGAAGTGTCCGAACGTCATAGGGCGGGAAGCTGGGTTTGGGTGGTCGCGAAGAGTCGTTTGGATATTTGGTAGAGCTTGAACGGCCCCCCCACGAAGTGGGGGTATTGTCTCGCGTCGCATGAAAAACCCTGGCACTGGTGAGAACACTGAGCGTTCGGGTAAAATGATTGTTGTTGTTGTTGTTGTTGTTGTTGTTGTTTGTGTTGATTGTTGTGTGTTTCTTCGTTGGTGGTTGGTAAATGGTGATTATTTGTTGGTTGTTGGTTGTTGGTTGTTGTTTGTTGATTATTGCTTGTTGCTTGTTGCTAGTTGCTTGTTGTCGCCGTCCCCCGCGACCCACCCCGCGACCCACCTGCGACCCACCCGCGACCCACTCGCGACCCACCCGCGACTCACCCCGCAGCCCACCTTGCGACCCGCCCGCGACCCATCTGCGACCCAGCCGCGCCCACCGACATAGGTTTAATGAAACAATCGGCGCCTGCGGCAAGCTCATCGTATGATTTGTAAAAAGATAGGCGCCTGCGGCGGGCTTCTTCTGAGCCTCGCAAGCTGCCGACGTCCCCGTCGCCCCCTCACTCTTATCCGCAACTTCGGGGTGTAGAAAAATGCCTAAATGGATGCAGCACCCCGCAGATCTGGGTAAGAGTGATGGAGGCGGGCATAGGGTGGGTAGCAGGTGGGTCGCGGGCGAGTCGCGCGTGGGTCGCGCGGTGGATCACCGGTGGGTCGCGGAGTGGGTCGCGGGGTGGGTCGCGGGTGATTCGATGGGTGGGTCGCGGGTGGGTCGCGGGTGGGTCGCGGGTTGGTCGCGGGTGGGTCGCGGGGTGGGTCGCGGGCGGGACGACGACAACAAAAAGCAACACCAACAATAACACCAACAACAGCAACAGTAATAACAACAACAGCAATAACAACAGTAACAATCAGTTTAATATTGTTTGTTCCTTTCCCGCTCGCGAGCCATTCAACACGTATATCCCAAACCCTCGATACCCGCTTTCTTCGTCTTCGATCGTGTCCCCTTAGGGGTATATCTTTCTAACCTGCAACGTGTATTTCGTGCAGCACTCAAGGCAGGGGAAGAGAGGGCGAATGGGAGGAAGGGACAAGGGGGAGGGAGGAGGATGGAGCACCACAGAGAGTAGCAGGAGGGGGGCTCGGAGCAGAAAGCAAGTGGCAGAACCAGACGGGCAGATCGGGCGAATAGACCCTAACGGGCGGGTCGGAAAGGCGGGCCCAGGTGGCCAAATCGAGCAGGCGGCTTGCTGAAGCGTGCGTCTTGCATGAATCGCAAGGAAGTCTGGAACGATAGCGTGACTCCCAAATAGATCGTGGGGAAATCCATCGCGAGAGCGTGATTCCTGGGTGTCGAGGGCGCGGCGTATGAATACAATTACAGGGAGTATCAGGCGTATGCATACAATTTGGGAGTAACTTTTGAGGAAGTATCAGGCGGGATCCGCTGCTCTTGTAAACCGGGGGCCATGGGCCCAGTGTGGTGGCACTTCATTTTCTCTGGTAATAATAAGCGGTTGCGAACCCCAGGAGAAGCATTTCAATTTAAGCAATGCAATGGTTAACGGGCAGGAGGGATCAATAGTACTTATGCTTTAATAGACACGAGAACTCAACAACAACAACAACAACAACAACAACAACAACAACAACAACACCAACAACAACAACAACAACAACAACAACGAAACCAACAACAACACAACATCAACAACAACAACAACAACAACAGCAACAGTCATTTTAAGACTGCTCGCCCTTATCTGCTCGAGTGTCCAATAACGCGTATTTCCCAAACCCTCGATACCCGCCCTCTTCGTCTTCGATCGAACCCCTTTTGGGGGGTATACCTTTCTTCCCTGCAGGCCGGGCCCTGGCAAGCGGCGGGGCGGCCGCGGACCGTCGGCCTGGCCAGCGGCAGCACTGATCGGCGGGGCGGCCGCGGACCGTCGACCCGACCCCAAGAGGGACGGACAGGGCACCGACCACGACGACGACGACGACGACGACGACAACGACGTCGACGACGACGGTGACGACGACGACGGCGACGACGAGCGAAAGCGAGAGCGAGAGAGAACGACAGCAGCGCCACGAAGGACACGAAGAAGGCCACGAAGGGCGACAGCGGGGACACGAAGGGAATGCGTATGGTGTCGCGAAGAGCGCGAACGAGCGGGGGCCACGAAGGGCAGATAATGCGGGGCCACAGAGGGCAACGATAGGGCCACTGAGGGTAGCAACTGGGCCACGTAGGACAGTGAGGGGGCCACAAACGGCGAAGGCGGGGCCACGAAGGGCATGCACATGGGGCCAATTCGGGCGCGACTCCTGGATGCCTGGGTGTGTCGGGAGCGCGGTTCTTGGGCAAAATGCAAGAAATACCAACGCAAGAGCGTTATTTTTCAGTCATTTGCAAGCAAGTCTCCAGCGAGAGCGCGACTCCAGAGCGCCTGGAGAGCGATTCCTGAATAAGTTGTAAAGAAGTCCTAAGCGAGAGCGCGATTCCGGAATAAAATGCGAGGAAGTCTCTGGCGGGAGAGGGGGTCCTGGCTAAATTGTGAGGAAGTCTCCGGCGGGAGCCGTTGTTGTTGTAACCCGGGGGCCAAGGGCTTTTTTTGAATATCAAGATTTCCCCTGTCAAAAAATAAAGTGCGAGCGTCGACGGGCACAGTTTGATTAAGAACACAACAGTATGCACTGGTGGGAGGATCAACAATAATTATTTTTCAGAAGTGAGAGTTCAACACCAACAATTACTAGCACGTGGGGACACTCCGTTCTCACCAGTGCCAGGGTTTTCATAGGAGGCGGGCAATACCCCCACTTTGTGGGGGGGCCGGTTCAAGCTCTACCACATTTCCAAACGACTCTTCGCCACCACCCACACCCAGCTTCCCGCCCTATGACGTTCGGACACCTCACTTCGTGGCCTGCGGACGACCTTGGCTACTACACTGGCGCATGGGTACAATGACTTGTTGTGGTAACATTTTCTGTAAGCTAGCTTAGTATACGACTTTTCCCCCTGCAATTGAAGATTTCGGCGTGCGCGCGCGAAGAAAAAACGAATGTGTCCCATATGGTATTATTTGACAGGGATGATGGCCCTGGCAGGCGCGCAACCGTTGTTGCAGAAGTTCGAAGCACGTGAAAAAGTTGCTCGCAAGAGCCCGTTTGACAGAAATGTTGAAAAAGTACTGGGTTTCCTAAGAAATCCGCAAGAGCGCGCGGGATGAATGTTTGAAACTTTTTTTTGAAAAACCATTGGGTTTTTCATGTTTTTATGTTAAAATCGCTACGAAAACTAAGGTTTTGGAAGGATTTCATCTTGCGCGCGCGAGTGTGCACTTCGTGTCATTTTTTGCAAAGGATTCTTGAAGTTTGGTTATGTTAGAACAAGACATGTCATTTTATATTGTTTTTTGACAGGGAAAGCGGGCGTCAACAAAACAACCGGATCCGGACTCCCCCGTTTTGCCTGAGACTTCCTCACGAAAATGATGAAAATGAGGCTGCGGCCTAGGCGCGGCGAGGGGGGCGTGCACCAGGGGCCCAACAATAATTATTCTTTAGAAGTAATAATGTTCAACAACAACAACAACAACAACAACAACAACAACAACAACAACAACAACAACAACAACAACAACAACAACAACAACAACAACAGCAGCAGCAACAACAACAACAACAACAGCAGCAGCAGCAGCAACAATATCATCAACAACAACTGCAACAACAATTGCAACAACAACAGCCGCAACAACAGCAATAACAACAACACCATCCCACCGCGGAAACCCGCTTCAGCCACGCACCCAGGGACATTGAAGGACCGTTCGGCTTCCTCCCTCTGACGTGCCTGCTGTAACCTTCATCCTCGCCCTCATTCCCTCCTCCTCCTCCTCCTCCTAGTCCTCCTCACCCTTCAATGGGGTCGAGACGTCCACGCCTCTTCCTCGGGTGAGGCCTGGCAGTAGCAAGTCGGCGGCGGCCCAGCAGGCGGAAGGCCAGCGAAAGCAACTTGTGCCACCCAAGAGAGGCCACTATTTTTGGATCCAGGGTTCCCAGACTCGGCCGTGTGGGGCGGCGTTGTAGACATGGCTCCGCTTTCGGCGCACCCATCGGCGGAAGGCCGACGGGAGCGCGCTTTTCTGGCCGCCCGTCTTGCTTCCCGCCTTTCCCAAAAAGCATGGGGCAGTACAGCCAACACGCCGAAACAAGGACCACTTCGGGCTCACGAGTTGCTGCTCTTTTCGGGCCGATTCTTTCAGGGGGGGAGAATCAGACAGAATGAGTCGTCGATTCCTTGGAAAATATGGGAAAGTATGGACACTGGGGGGAAGACGAACACCCAGAAAAGATTTGAAAAGTATCCCGGCAAAGCAACCTAACAGCGATGTGTAGGAGCATATCTGGAAGCATTCCCCTTAAGATTCAGCTGAGAATCCAGTTGTAGAATTCTGCTGTTCTCGCAGTCGTAGTCGCATTCGCGATGACAGTCGCAGTGGCAACGGCAGTCGCAGTCACAGCCTCAGCCTCAGCCTCAGCCTCAGCCTCAGCCTGCCTCAGCCTCAGCCCCTGCATCAGCCTCAGCCTCAGCCTCAGCCTGCCTCAGCATCAGCCTGCCTCAGCCTCAGCCTCAGCCTCAGCCTGCTCAGCCTCAGCCTGCTTCAGCCTCAGCCTCAGTCTGCCTTCAGCCTCGGCCTCAGCCTCAGCCTGCCTCAGCCTCAGCCTGCATCAGCCTCAGCCTCAGCCTCAGCCTGCCTCAGCCTCAGCCTGCCTCAGCCTCAGCCCTCAGCCTCAGCCTCAGCCTGCCTCAGCCTCAGCCTCAGCCTGCTTCAGCCTCAGCCTCAGTCTGCCTTCAGCCTCGGCCTCAGCCTCAGCCTGCTCAGCCTCAGCCTGCATCAGCCTCAGCCTCAGCCTCAGCCTGCCTCAGCATCAGCCTGCCTCAGCCTCAGCCTCAGCCTGCCTCAGCCTCAGCCTCAGCCTGCTTCAGCCTCAGCCTCAGTCTGCCTTCAGCCTTCAGCCTCAGGCCTCAGCCTCAGCCTGCAACAGCCTCAGCCTCAGCCTCAGCCTGCCTCAGCCTCAGCCTCAGCCTCAGCCTCAGCCTCAGCCTCAGCAGCCTCAGCCTCAGCCTCAGCCTTCAGCCTCAGCCTCAGCCTCAGCCTCAGCCTCAGCCTCAGCCTCAACCTGCTCAGCCTCAGCCTCAGCCTCAGCCTCAGTCTGCCTCAGCCTCAGCCTCAGTCATCAGCCTGCCTCAGCCTGCCTCAGCCTCAGCCTCAGCATCAGCCTCAGCCTCAGCCTCCTGCCTCAGCCTCAGCCTGCATCAGCCTCAGCCTCAGCCTCAGCCTGCCTCAGCATCAGCCTGCCTCAGCCTCAGCCTCAGCCTGCCTCAGCCTCAGCCTCAGCCTGCTTCAGCCTCAGCCTCAGGCTGCCTCAGCTCAGCCTGCCTTCAGCCTCAGCCTCAGCCTGCCTCAGCCTCAGCCTCAGCCTCAGCCTGCCTCAGCAGCCTCAGCCTCAGCCTCAGCCTCAGCCTCAGCCTCAGCCTCAGCTGCCTCAGCCTCAGCCTCAGCCTGCCTCAGCCTCAGCCTCAGCCTCAGCCTGCCTCAGCCTCAGCCTCAGCCTCAGCTGCCTTCAGCCTCGGCCTCAGCCTCAGCCTGCCTCAGCCTCAGCCTGCATCAGCCTCAGCCTCAGCCTCAGCCTGCCTCAGCATCAGCCTGCCTCAGCCTCAGCCTCAGCCTGCCTCAGCCTCAGCCTCAGCCTGCTTCAGCCTCAGCCTCAGTCTGCCTTCAGCCTCGGCCTCAGCCTCAGCCTGCCTCAGCCTCAGCTGCATCAGCCTCAGCCTCAGCCTCAGCCTGCCTCAGCATCAGCCTGCCTCAGCCTCAGCCTCAGCCTGCCTCAGCCTCAGCCTCAGCCTGCTTCAGCCTCAGCCTCAGTCTGCCTTCAGCCTCGGCCTCAGCCTCAGCCTGCCTCAGCCTCAGCCTGCATCAGCCTCAGCCTCAGCCTCAGCCTGCCTCAGCATCAGCCTGCCTCAGCCTCAGCCTGCCTCAGCCTCAGCCTCAGCCTCAGCCTCAGCCTCAGTCTGCCTTCAGCCTCGGCCTCAGCCTCAGCCTGCCTCAGCCTCAGCCTCAGCCTCAGCATCAGCCTGCCTCAGTCTCAGCCTCAGCCTGCCTCAGCTCAGCCTCAGCCTGCCTCAGCCTCAGCATCAGCATGCCTCAGCATTCACAACGTGGCCCGGGAATGGAGTTCTGGGAACTCGAAGAACACGAAGTGGCCTACAGTTGGCTCCGGGCATTCGAAATCATGCCCAGGAAGGGAGTTCTGGGAACTCGAAGAACACGAAGTGGCCTACAGTTGGCTCCGGGCATTCAAAATGTGGCCCGGGAATGGAGTTCTGGGAACTCGAAGAGCACGAAGTGGCCTACAGTTGGCTCTGGGCATTCAAAATGCGGCCCGGGACAGGAGTTCTGGGAATTCGAAGAGCACGAAGTGGCGTACAGTTGGCTCCGGGCATTCAGAATGTGGCCCGGGAGTGGAGTTCTGGGACCTCGAAGACCACGAAGTCTGTAATTTTTTGCTTAAAACTACTTCCGCGGATCCCTGTCAGGATGCCGCCCAGACCCCCCTGGGGAGTCATGCCCTCTTTTGACATTATTAGAAACCTATCAGTCTTCGCTGTTAGGTCATATGGGGAATCTTGTTATTTGTGTCTATTTCTTTGTGTGTCCCAGGGCCCCTTTTAGAAACAAGGACCACTTCGGGCTCACGAGTGGCTCCTCCTTTCGGGCCGATGCTTGTGCCCGGGTCCGGGAGAATCTGTTCGTGGCCGCGGCTCGCTGTGGCCAGAAAAGAAGGTCCTTTGTCCTGGCGTTCCTGATGTCGGGACCTCGCAAAGAGGGGGGGGGGGGAGTTCGGTCCGATGGCGCATCGAACCGCCCAGAAGCGATGCAAGACGAGGCCCCCGGCCGCCGCCGGCATTTGAGAGGTGTCGACATTTGGGGCACGCGGGTTACATCGTTTTGCGGAAGTTCGATGCATCAGCGGATCGAACTCATCCCCCCCCTCGGGGTCCCCCCCTTTGGTGGATCCCGATTATGGTCGCGATGAGTGGAAGTCAAATGACGCGCGCTCAGGCAGCGCGAACCGACGAATGTGAAAGCAAGCGGCCCTGGCCAACTGAAGCTACCAGAGCGAAAAGGAACGACCGCACGAAGGTTGATAGCTGCGGGAAGCGAACGCGAAGTGGAGGACCAAGTGGAAGGCCTCGTCGTGTCGTGGGAGGGCCAGTGGCAGGCAGGGGGCCACCGGGGGCAGGGATGGCCAGGCGAGCTCGGCTCGGCGTCGCCCGCCGGCCGCGCGCCCGCACAGCTGCCGCCACAGCGGGCCTCCCGCGCGGCTCGGGCGCGAGACCTCGACGGAGCGGGGCCGGCCGGCCATCGGCGGCGACGGAGCTCCCGCGCGCTCTTTCCCAGGGGGGGCGCCACTCGAGACAACGGCGGCCCTCTTGGGCGATCTTCATCTTGCTTGAACATCCTGGAGGCCTCTTGTCCCCACGGCTGGGGGTCCGCCTCGGGGTCAGGATGGCCCCCCGGAGGGGATTTCGAGCGGGCTTGGGAGCCGCCGCCGTTGTCTCCACTGGCCTCCCTCCGACTCTCGCTTCCCCGTGCTCACCAGCCGTTAGGATATGCAATTTCTGGGGGGGTCAAGTCGGCATCGGCGCCGGTATCTCCGTGGTCGAGAAAACGGGCCCACGATCCGGCGCAATTTGTTTTTTCCTGCTTGATCCCGCCCTCCTCCTCCTCCTCCTCCTCCTCTTCCTCCTCCTCCTCATCATCCTCCTTCTTCTTCTTCCCGCAGCCCTTGGGGACCAATGTCTGAGGTGTCCACACATGCATACGTCAGCGGTGAGAAAGGCGGCAAGTATAGCGGAGGACGAGGAGAGCAGCAATGGCCAGCATCAACCCGACTCGCAATACAGATCGAGCGGGGCATATAGATGGGCAACTGACGCCTCCAGCCATGCATCCCCAGGAGGCGTGGGGGCACAGCGTTGTGAGGCTGCCTGCGTGATAACAGCAGCTGCGTAGAATTCCACCTGGCTGCTGTCAGGAGGGGCCAGGATCGGCATGGCGTTCATGCACAGGCACTGACGGTCCCCCATGGGCACACATCTCGACGTGACGGTCGGAGACGTATCTTGCAGGGAGCACAGGAACCTGACCTCGGGGACCTTCCACATGCAGGGCAGGTTGGCTTGCGGAGCAGGTGGGTTTAAAATGAGCAAAGCCGCCAGGCCCGAGGACGCCGCACACAGCGCAAGCGTCAGTGCCGCCCTCAAGCACGCACTGTCGAGCTCCAGCTGCTTCCACTCCGAGGGCGACCTGGCAGAAAGTCCCCATGGCTCATCGCAGCTCCTTAAAGGCCTGCACTCACCGCCCTTGACTTTGCAGCGGGGGGTGGGGTCCCACGAGGAAAGGAGGAAATCCGCCACGAGACCAATGACACGCCCTGCAAGAATAAGATCAGTAATGAACAATAGCTCCTTATGGAGTCCCTCAGTGGAGTCCTGGAAAAGCTCGAGAATATTAAGAGACAAAACAAAAACATCCATGCCCGCTATCGCACTGGACTTCTCCGCTCTGTCCTGGATGTCGCCTTGACTCCTGGGAGCTGTACGGAGGATCGCAATGTATTTAGTACCAGGGGCCACAGGCATGTGGACCTCTGCCTGCGTGGGCATCTCTTCCTGGATGCATGCTGGTTGGCACGAAATTCTCGGCATGCAAGTGGGAAGGCCCTTGGAGGCAGCCGCTCCCCTCAGCCTAGGTCCCGTCGTGAGGACAGGCGGGAGCTGCGCAGACTCCGCGTAGTGGCCTTTCTCTCGGAGCGTGCGTGCTAGCTCCGCGTCCTCCGCCTTAGCCGCCATCACCTGTTCGGGGCTCAGCGGTGCGATGACGGCCATAAGGTCCGCCAGGCACTTCGATGAGCCATGCCGAACGTGTTTAAGCAATCTAAGATGCGTGCGGAAGTTGAGACCGCAAACCATGCACACAGTGCCTGAAACGTAGCTGGGGGCGGGGTCAAGATGGGGGTGGCACTTCGAGCGATGGGAGGCCCATGCGCCCTTGGTGGCCAACACCGCCCCACAGTCCAAGCAGGGATACAAGGCGAGAACCGACGGCGGACGCAGAAACGACGGGAGCGCAAGACCCTTGGCGATGCAACACTTTCGCCACCCATCCTTGAATTCTTCGTGACGCTGATCGTCCAAAAATTTGGCCCTGGCAGCCGATTCTGCTCGCTTGCAAATTCGCTTCCAAAACTTGTTGCTGCTAGACCTCAGGAGCCACAGCCACCAAGCAGGGGGCCCTGGCGGTAAGAATACCCTGTCCAGATTCACATGTCTGCTGAGCCACATCAGGTCATCGCAACACAATGCGGACCATGATTCGGACACTGAGGCTAACTCGTCCAGGATCGCCAGCAGACACGCAGGCGCCGATTTGAGAAGCCTGGGAAGAAATCGCAGCCGCCTGAGCCTCAGTACCAGCTCGACGGGCATGATCTCACACTTGACAAAAACTCCATGGTCTGCAGCAGCCTTGCCAGAGCCAGAATCGTACCCAAGCCCAGCCGCCAGTCTAAACGGGCTCAAATAGTTGCGCGCCAGGGTCGCCATCTGTTTCACGTTTAACTTGTGCCAGGCGAGGGCATTAAACAAAAGGTGCGACGTGCACAAAGACGTAACATAAATTAGCTTGGCCCTTAAATTGACTTGCTTCCTGGGGAAAACAGTGCGCCTCAGTGCCCCTAGAGGGCGTCGCTGCTGATGGCAACGGTGCGCCAGCTCAGGTCCCAGAGAAATGTGATGGTCCTGGTAACTTCCCAAGTGTTTGTAGGTTCTAGTGAGGCACAGGGAGACGCCCAAGGAAGGGACGAGAAGACCAGTGGCAGCCAAGGCTGCACACTCCCCTCGTGCCTTCCTGGAACCTGTGCCGCTGAAGAAGGCCATGAGCTCCGTCTTGCCCGCCTTCCAGTTCATGGTGAACCCCCTAGACTTGGTTTCTTCGTACATGATCGTGACGAGGGCGATGGCCGCCTCCTTCCAGAGCCTAGCGTCTGACAGCTCGATGCCGTTGACGAGGTCATCCATGAAGGCAGGATCCCATATGTCTTCCTCTACATGCTCGTGTTCGCGACCTCTGGAAATCCTATGAGACGGGACCACATCCTTAGTCCTCTGAAGATACCCCAGGGATCCTAATCTACGGTTGACCGCGATGATGATTGGGTCGAAGGCTATGATGAACAGGAGGTCAGCTAGTGGCATGCCTGGCCTCGTACCTAGGCGGGGGGAGACAACCCTGGTTCTCCCCCTCCCTTGGAACCAATTGCATACCATCACGTCAGCCACTGCTTCCAGAAGGCGCTTACTTCCAGGTCCGTCCAGGGCTCCAGGCTTGGCGACTAGGGCATGACACAGAGGCTCCAGACAACTAGGTATCTCTAAGCCCGCCAGCGTGTTCTGGATGTCCTCACTGTTCTGGGCCATTCTGGCAACGAACCCTCGGATGACCGAATAGAATGCCGCCTTTAGATCGGTGTACAACGACAGGTATGTGCGCTTCCTAGCCTTGGCAGCCATCATGGCCGACCGAAGATGCAAGGATGCAATGTCAGTGCCGCGCTGAGGGAGAGCTCCCTGCTGGACCACCGACAGCATGTTCATTGTTGCCTCTAGAAGTTTACTCCTGAGGAAGGCATGGTGCAACTTCGCCGTGTGGCATCCCAGTAGGATGCCTCTGTAGTGCTCCAAGGGTTCGGGGGGCCCAGATTTGTGTAGATCGCATTGCCAGCCTCCTTTGAACAGCAGGGGCTCCCTGGGCGCCATGTCAACTTTCACGGACAACGGCAACAATATCTGCGTGCATTCTTGCGGAGCGACCTGGAAAAGATCATTGCTGAGCCCGTCAGGCCCAGCACCTCTTCTCTTGGCTGCCTTCATGATGTCATACTTGAGCCTGCGGAAGGGGGTGATCATGTCCAACTCCCTGGGATATACATTTCCACGCTCAGGGAGGGCGTTGTATCTCTCAACCAGTTCTTCCCAGCTGAGTGCCTGCCCATTCTCAACTACAGCGAAATAATCAGTGAGGGCCTCCGAGAGATCTCCAGATGTGGCCGGAACCTCGCCCTGAGAACTTCGTCGGATCCTAAGCCCCTCGACCTGGAACTTGGAGCGCTTTCCCCCAAACCTTTGCAGCTGGCATAGCACTCTCCACTCCACTCTACTCTCGTTTGAGGACCTAGCGTTGCACAACTGCTGCGCGAGGTCGTCTAGCAGCTTGTTGCGCGAGAGCTTCAAGGCCCTTCTCAGGGCCGGCTTCGACTTGACCAGAAACTCAAGCATGTGTGCGGCTAGCTCGCTTGCCGCCAGGATCTGTTTATCCCACTCAGCGAAAGCCTGGAAAAGCTCCGAAACCAGGAGGTCCAGCTCAAGATCGGTGATGTTCTGGGGGGCCCCCGCCTCCAGCGCCGCGGCGACCAGCCTCCTGACCCCGCCAGAGTCCTGCTTACCCCAGAGACGCCACGCCTGCCGCACTTGCCTTCTGATGATGATAATGCCCAGAAGAGCCTCTGACACATATGGCTTGATCGGAGTGCGCGCAGGTTTAGGGAAGCATGCTTCTGCACCCACGTACATGTATTGAATGATGTCGTGTAAGTGCTGATTCATGTCGACCTGGTGAGGCACCCTGGGAAACGCTGCCAGGTGCATCCTGAAGGCTGCTGCCTTATCAGGGTCCTGGGCGCCCCTAGCGTCGTAGCCGCTCTGTTGTTGCGCTGCTTTGGTGGAGCCCTGGGACTCGAAGCGCATGAAGACAGGATAATGATCCTTGCCAGTGCAAAAGGAATCAATATCATATCGTACTTGATGTTGCCCCAATGCGGGAATCATATTCTGCTCAACCGCAATGTAGTCTATTCTGCGTGGTGTTTCAGACTTCGACGAGACAAACGTGTACGAGTCCTGGCTGAGAGAGGGGACTAACGCGTTGGCTGCGACCAAGCCCGTCTCCAAGAGCATGTCGTGAAACAGCACGCCCGATTCGTCCTCGTCTTGCCTGAATCCTTCGCTTCCCACTGCCTCAGACACAATGCTGCCAAGCCTGGCATTCGCGTCCAGGAAGGCCAACTGCACTTTCCATGTATGGCAGATCCCAATGAGGTCCCGCCACCACTGTTTCCTCTGCTGCGAGGTATACTCGTCTCCGTTGTGCAGCGCATGGGCAACCAGGATGACCTTCCTAAAGAGTGGGGCGCAACAGCCAACCACCAGGTGCCTCTGGGTAGCGTACAACGGCCTAAAATGTTTCTGCTCAAAATATAGCCCCTCGCCCCCACGTCGCCCATAGGGTAGGTGCAGGGAGACCCAAAGCTCAACACCCAA